CCGCTAGATGGCAATTTAATTCCTTCCTGGAATTTTTCCTGACACCTGGTGGCGACCTTGGCGTTCTCAAGTGGCAAAATTAAGCCACAATTTTATTCCTCAAAAACTTTTTTTATAATTAATAAAATAAATAAATTTTATTGTGAGAATAATTTAAAGTTTGTTTTTAGTGCACAATTTTAACTCTGTTTTTTTGAAACACGATACTAATTATTAGTAAACAAATATTGTTCGACTATTTCCAAACATTACGAACTTTTTATAACATATTTGAAGCCATTTTTTATTTTTAAATTCAGTTCGAGGCCTGATTTTTATTTGGAACTTTCAATTTGTACTTTGCAAATTTATTTTTACTTTGTAATTTTGCAATTTAAGAATTGCAATAAATTATAAATTAAAATTAAATTTTTAATTTAAATTCTTAATTTCTAATTAAGAATTTTTTAATTTTTGATTTTTGATTTTTAATTCTTAATTTGAAATTATTAATTTAAAATTTTTAATTAGTATTTTTTAATTTGTAATTTTTAATTAAAACTTTCGAAAAATGTATTTTGAAATTTTTTTAAAATGAATTTTGTAATTTTGCAATTCTTAATTCGTAGTTTTTAATTTTAATTATTAATTTGTAATTATAAACTTTCGTATTTTGTATTTTTTAATTTTTATTTGAAACTTTAAAATTGTATTTTGTAATTTTTCAGTCTTAATTTTCAACTTAAGTTATTAATTTGTAATTATTGAATGTTGTGTTTTTTAATTTTTATTTGGAAATTTCAAAATTGAATTTTGTAATTTAGTAATTTTGCAATTCCTTATTCGTAGTTTTTAATTTAAATTATTAAATTTTAATTATTAACTTTTTATTTTGTGATTTTTATTTGTTTTTAATTATTTTGTAATTTTTAATTCTTAATATTCAATTAAAGTTATTAATTTGTAATTACTAACTTTTAAATTATAAAATTGTAATTTCAGTTATGAAATGAATTTTATAAAAAAACAGAAAAAGGCGTAAGCCTTTTTCTGTTTTCTGTCAGTTTTTACTATTTTCGGAGTAAATTTCGCAAAATTACCAAATTATAAAATTTGGTAAATTGCAAAATTAGGAAAAATTCGATTCAGATTAAAAATAAAATTACTATTAAATCAATTTTTAATAGTATTATTTTATTTACTAAGTTTTTACAGAATTAACAACCTGCGAACGCCAAGGTCACCGCTAGATGGCAATACAGTTGACAAAATCAGATTCCTCGCCACCTAGTGGCAATCTTGGCGTTCTCAAGTGGAGAAATAAAAAACAGATATATTCAGAAATATTCTAAAAAATCCATTAGCTTAAAAAGAAATTCGTTTTCAAAAAATTTGTCCATCGTCCAGAGCTTAAATAATAATTGAACAAATACCGTTCTAATTCTAATTATTCTCCACTTTAATTAATTCAAACATAAATTTTTGTCAACATTGTAGGTGGCCGACCTCTTATTTGACAAAGATAACCAAACGAGAATGACACTTTTCCTCATTTTTGTCATAAAACTGCGTCTCTATAATCGGTCAAAAAAAAGTAATGACACAAAATGTTTATCTCCCACAATCTTAATATCTTTAATACCAAATTCTTTTTTTTTTCTTTTGCAAAAAGACAATATTGAAAAAGACAATATTGTTCTCTCCTTTTTTTATTACAATTCTCATTTTTCTTGACGAGAAAAAAAAAACTCGGAATTATCAATAAAATAATTGCTTTTTACTACATAGATTTTGACATAAAACTTATTATTGAATGATTTTCGAGGTCGGAAATAACATGAAAATTAGAAACAGAAAAGAAAGAAGTGTGTCGCACTATCTATAACAATTATTAAGGAATGATTCTAGCGAGTCGTAAAATTAATGATCCATTGAGCAACCGGATGTTCGTTTGGAATCTGGAGCTCCGTGTGCGATTGCGTGGAAAATCAGAGGACATTGCTGGCAAATCTCGAGTTGTGTCTGCGATACTAATAAGTTAGTATATAAATACACTTCGAGAGAGCGTTTTCCAATTCTTAGAATTTGCGGTGAAAAAAAAAATCTTTATAAATTGCAGCAATTGAATCTTGATTTTAGAAAAAAATTTTTACTGGAAAAAAAATATTTAATTTTACTTCCGTTTTTGGCGAAAATTTTTAGAGAATTCCGATCTCAATTTTGATAGGGTTGAAAAGAAGGGTGAAAAAAGGGGGATTTAAATAAGATGGTATTGGTCTTTTGTTGAGTGGAGGAGATGAAAAGTGAAAAACGACATTGAATGATAAGAAAGACTGATAATAAACGTGACGGATATAGCATTGTCAATAGATAGCTTAATTTCGGTCACGGAATTATTTCACACATTGACTTAACATACTGTCAGGATATTTCCATCGAAATCGATTAGAATTTATATTGCATATTGCGGTTCGATGAAATCAATTGAAAATACATTTTTAATCCACAAAAATTCGCAGCGTGCGTTGCTCAATAGGGTTTGGCGTTTTACTTTTAGAGTAAATGGGAAAAAAAGTTTTACACTACTTGGAAATTTTTTCGTGATAAAATTTTTTTAATACCTGAAGGAATAATTCAGTTGAAATCTATCAAATTTATTTGACTAAAAAACTAAGTAAAAAAATAAATAAACAAAAAAACGAAATGAAAAAAATAAAATTTATTTAAACTAAGTAAAATTTCTTTGAACTAAGTAAAGTTTATTTTTAGTGAATAAAATATTTTTGAATTAAATATAATTTGTTTCAACCGAGGAAAATTTATTTGAACTAAGGAAAATTTATTTGAACCAAGGAAAATTTATTTGAACCAAGGAAAATTTATTTGAACCAAGGAAAATTTATTTGAACTAAGTAAAGTTAATTTTAATTAAATAAAATATTTTTGGAACTAAATATAATTTGTTTCAATCAAGGAAAATTGATTTCAACTTAAAAACAATTATTTTTACGATAGGAAAATATATTTTAACCAAAATATAAATTTTGGCGAGTCAAAAAAAAAAAAATTTCTCCAAATTAAATAAAAGAATCCCTGTGTGTAGAAATCTTATACTTTTTACAGTACTCTTGATAAAATCTTCTGACTTTTTCTCCCAATTTTCCAGACCAATTTTAATTTCCTCTACTTTTCCTGACTTTGAGTCGGAAATTTTTTTACAGAAGTTTATTAAAATTATTCTAGACAGTAAACTTATAAAAATCTAGTAAAAATTCTGTAGAATTTCACGGAATTTCTATTTGATATCTAGTAAATATTTCAATTTGTTATTGTAAATTAATTCTAAATAAATATTATCGAAATTTTTTAATAACTTTTTGTAGTCATTATTGACTTTGACGTTTAAAAATACAGATGATGTTTGTTATCAAAAGTGCAGTAATCTCTTTTAAATATACACTGAAAAGAAAATTTATTTGACTCAAATAAAGAATTACTTGTCTATTTGTTAAATAAATATTTATTTGCGTCAAATAATTTTAAATTGTCCTAAATAATTTTTATTCAAGTGAAATATTATTTTAAAAAAATTTTTTAAATAAAATAGTAAAAAAATTGATTTAAATACTGGAATTATGGATTCAACGACAATTTAATTGATTTAGATAAAATTTATTTAATTCAAGTAAATATTTATTTGATAATAGACAAGTAATTGGTTAATTGAATGAAATAAATTTTTTTCAGGGTATTTGCAAATTTTAATAAAATATATTTCCAGTTATTTAAAAAAACTACAGAAATTAAAATTAAAAAATCATTAAATTGAAGATGTTTAATTAAACGAAATTTGTTATTTCTTCTTTAAATTCAAATTTTTTTATAATAATATTGGTTCACATGTAAAAAAGTAAATTATTAACATTCCAAATGCTTGATTTTGTCACAGAGGATTTTTCATCAGTGAGTAATTTTCAAAATATTTTTATAATGTCAAAAAAAATTTCGTTCATTTAAATAGTCAGAACTTACAAATAATAAATTAATATTTAAACTCAGAAAAATTTTTTCTTAATTCAAGAAAATTAGTTTATTATACTCGTTTTGTTTCATTCTATAAATAAATTTTCACTTTTAAACAAAGTATTGTTTTTTGATTTAAAAAGAAAATTTTTTTTTTGATTTAAACCAATTTTCTTTTATTTAAACAAATTTTCTTTGATCTAAACAAATTTTCTTTGATTTTAAACGAATTTTCTTTAAATCCAAAAAATTTGACCTTAAAGTCAAAAAAATTTTTTCATTCAAACAACGTCAAAAAAAATATTACTTTCGAAAATTTAATTTAAAATTAAGGAAAAGTTTCTTTCAAACAAATAAATTTTATTTTTGAATCAAAGAAAAATTAATTATAAATTATAAATTATTTTTCGATCAAAGAAAAATTCATTTTCAATCGAAGAAACAAAGTAAAGTAAATAATTTCTTTAAATAAAATAAAATAATTAAATTATAAATAAAAAAGTGAGTTATTAATTAATTAATTAAAATAAAAAAAAAACATTTGAAGAAGAAGAAAATAAATTTTGTTCATTTGAACTTACAGAACTTTAGGATCATCAAATGGTGTTTGAATCAAATACCGAAATTATTGATTCAAATATAATTTATTTGCCCTGTTTAAAAAATTATTTGAATCAAGTAAATATTTATTTGATAATAGACAATATCTATTTAATGCACCAGACAAGATTATTTGGATCAAATAAATTTTTTTCCATCAGTCTACAGTGAAGAAAAAATAAAAACAAAAAAATATAAAATAATTTACCTAACTATTTTCAAATAAATAATAGAATAAATATTTTTCGCAAATTCGATAATTTTTCGTCAAAAAAAAAAAAAAAAAAAAAAAAAAAAGTCAATTGACGATTGGACGCTAACCCTCTCGGGTGTATATAAATATATATTGAGAAGTGTATCAGAAGGCAAAGCACGCAGTGAGTTTAATGATACATGTAATGAAATCGCGTTGCCCGGGGGTCGAGCCCGTACCCCCACGCGTGAGGGTAAAAGCAGAGTGGGGAGTTTGTGGTGGTGCCCGGGTAAAAAGATAGAGGTGGGACCGAGGCGTGAGTGAGTGAGTGAGTGAATAGTGAGTCCCGACCAAGTGAGTAAGACCCACTCAGCAGTGTCTCAGTCACAACGAGATCGGCAAGCTGAATGGTCAAATATCGCGTGTCTGGTCGTGCTGAAAATATTATTTTTTCGAGAAAAATACAAAAAAGACCACTACAAAAAACCACCCTTAAAATTCCCCAAAAATTCTCTTTTACCCCCTTACCCCTTTTCACAATATTTTAATAAATTTCAAAAAAAAATATTTTTTCCCCTTTTTTTTTAATTATAAATTGAGACCTTTTTTTCGCATGTAATCGGTTTGGACGAATGTCACTCACAATTGTTGGTGTGAACGACCCTTTAACTTGGAGGACAATGAGAAAAGGGATGAAAATTAAATTTTCAATGAAAAATGAAAAATTGAAGGAAATGTTAATTGAACTGGGACAATGTGGAGAAATCTGGTGCTGTCTCGAACTATCATAATAAGGAACTGTTAACAGTAGAAAAAAATAAAATAAGTGAAAAATTGGATTTTACTTCGCGATTTAAAAAAAAAAAATATTGAAAAATAGAACTTCCTGAAGTAACCGGAAGTGCGTGAGTGGATGCAAGGAAGCTGTATCGTCGGGAGAAGTCGAGGAGTCTCCTACCGGAGGAAGAGGAAGAGATGATCTTCGGGCTGCTGGTGGCTGGAGCGATTGCCCTTGCCACTCTAAGGCGGTGTGTGTACATTGTTAAGTTTCATTTGTTAATTATTAACATAATTTTTAGTGCTCATTAACTAATTCCTCTTCATTTTTTTTCAAATCTTTTTCTGTATTTTTTGTCATTTTTTTTGTCATCAATTTATTGTCATCATTTTATTGTCATCAATTTTCCTATTCACTACTTTGATTTATCATTATGCAAATAATTATTCTTTTTAATCTTTATTCATAATAATTTAATAATTATTCATTAAATCTTTTTTCGCAAATCATTATTTTTCACATCTGTTTTTTTTTTTGAAATTTTAAAAAAGTTTTTATTAATTGAAATTTCGAAAATTCAATTTAAAACATATTTTCGTTTTAAAAAGGAGATTTCTTTTTTCACAACTCATTATTTTTCACTTTTTTTCTGAAATTTCAGAAAATTTTCTTTAATTTTCAATCAATTAATTAAAAATTAAAAAAATGTAATTTAAAATGAATTTTCGATTTAAAAAAACATTTCTTTTTTCGCAACTCATTTCACTGTTGCTCTCTTCTAAAATATCAGAAAATTTTCTATTATTTAAAATTTTTAAAAGTCCAATTCAAAGGGAAATTTCAATGAAAAATAATTTAAACTAAAAAGAAATGTCAATTTTAAACAATTTTCGATTTAAAAAAGTTTTCGTTTTCGAAGGAAATTTTAATTTTAAAAAAGTGTCAATAACAGGAAATTTCAATTAAAAGAAGCAAATTTTTAATTTTAAATATAGTAATTAAAAATTTAAATAATACCTACCTAAATAAAATTATTATAATAAAATTAGCGACACTTTGACATCTTGTTGTCTAAATTACTAAACAATCTAAAAAATCCGAAGGTTCAAATTAGCGAATTAATTTAATTTCTTTTTTTGAATTAATTAATTATTCAATGTTTATTTATTTATTTATTTATTTAACATAAAGGCGCTACTCTTAAAATTTGAAATCGTAAAAATTTTGACTAATTTGAGTTAGTGAATGAATTTTTGCTTTTGAATTAATTAATTACTATTTATTAGTTAATTTTACTACTATTACTACTACTAGTTTATTAGTGAAATTTACTAATTCTAATTCTAAAGCAAAAAGTAAGTCAATAATTCAAATTAGTGATTACTATTTATTAGTTAAAATTTACTAATTTACTAATAAAATATGTCAATAATTCAAATTAGAAATATCTATTTATTAGTTAAAATTTACTACTACTAACTACTAATTTAAAGTCAAATTTACACGCACTACTGATTTATTTGTAAAATTTACAAATTCAAAAGCAAAATAATAAGTCAATAGTTCAAAATAGAAATTAGCTTTTATTAATTAAAATTTACTAGTACTACTAATTTATTAGTAAAATTTACTAAATCAAAAGCAAAAATTTTATCACTAATTCAAATTAATGAACTTTTTTAATAATTCAAATTTAAAGAGTAAAATTTTACATTTTTTAACAAAAATTACTTGAAAGTAATTAACGCTGATACATAAACTAAAAATAAATATTTTTCCAAAATTACTGATTGATTAAAAAAACGAAAACGTATATTAAACGTTTTCAAACATTACGATTTATTTTTTAACACATTTTTTATACTAAAATAGAATTAGAATTTAGAAAATTAATAAATTTTGTTCACTTAAACATTCGAAATTCAAAACTTTAGGACGATTATTATCAATAGTAAAAAAAAGTTACTCATTAACTAATAGAAATTTTTTAAAATTAATTTCGCGAAAACTTTATTATAAAAATGTAACTTAATTAGAAATTTAATAGATTTGAGTTTCAATAAATAAATAAATAAATAATATAAATAAATAACTAAATAGATAAATAACTAAATAAAGTAAAAGATATAACTGAGTTTATTTATTTATTTATTTATTTATTTATTTATTTATTTATTTATTTATTTATTTATTTAGAAGATCACGGGACAAGCCAAATAAATAATAAATAAATAAATTTAAGTCTAAATAAATAAAGAATGAGTAAAATTTCTTTTTTTAATAAAAAATTCAAATTTTCTAAACTTTTTATCATAAAAAATTTTTTTGTTTTCTGTAAAATAGTATTGTGATTTGAAATTATAATAAGTGTAACATTAAGAAAAAAGCACGATTGTTTAAAAAAAGAATTTTACGCGAAAAAAATTGCTCCACGTGCGTAAGAAACTACATTTGATCTGAAACGAAATAAGCTACATCATCGAGTATAATAAATTAGATAAACATATTTTATATATAGATTGGATTTCTCAACACATATGCAGTAAAGAGAAGATTTAATATTTAAACGTGACAGTAATTCGCAAAGTCTGTTTAGAAAAAAAAAAAATAATTAACGTAAACTAAATATTTCAGCTTGCAACTTGGGCGCTATGAAAAAATCAATCTACATCTTTTTGTTTATAGACATTTTTTTGTGGTTGTACGATATAAATACAAAATACATATATACAAAAAAATACATATAAAAAAAATATATATGTATATCCAAAATACACACATAAGAGATTCTGGTCTAGCTTAATCGTGATGATTCATTATATATTATATCCCACCGCACGGTTATCTCGCGCGATCAGTGCGGAGTCTGAACTTGTTTCGTTCTCGTGCACTTTAAAATCAGATGATGTATAATTTATGATTATTATTTTTTTTTTATTAGAAACAATGGCCCATATTTATTTCGGCGTTATTAAAATTCTCCAAGTTAGATAATAATTAATATTTTATTATATTAAACTTTTCTATTATAAAAAAATTATTATTTGAATCAAATAATTTTTATTTAAATCAATTAAATGCTATTTGCATCAAATATTAAAATTATTGGTTCAAATCAAATACAATTCATTTGATTTAAAGAAAAATTATTTGATTAAAGTAAAAATTTATTTGTCAATAGACAAATAATTTAATTAGCTGTTTTTATTATTAAACTTATTATTTATTATTATTAAAAAATATTAATTACTAAAAAAAATTTTTTGGTTTAATTTGATTTTCTAATTCGAATATATGTATTAGACAAAAAAGTATAATGTGGCTGAACTGAGTCATTATCGGACTAATGTACCCCCGGAGTGTTTATTTGGCTTCGTCTCAGAATTGGCTGGCTTAGTATATAATAGATAGAGATAATGTTCGGCTTTACTCGCGACCCTCGTATCATTGACACTTACCTTTTATTTTCCAGTTGTTCGATACTTTGTCCCCTCAAAACGTCCATCAGAATGAATTCTGAAAAATAAAAAATCCATCTCAATTTTTTTATTTCTTTCATTACACTGAGAAATTTTTTTTTTAATTCACAAATATTTATTCAACCAAAAAAATATGTCTGAATTAGACGTAATTTTTATTGAATCAAACTTATTATGTATTCAACCAAAATTATTATGTTGCATTCAAAAATAACTTTTGGTTGACTTCTCATATTAAATTACTTTGCAAATAAATTAAAAAGTAAATATTTTAAAAAATTCATTTTTTAATAACCGTAGAACAAAAATTCTTATAGGAATTAATTTTTTTAATAGTTTCTTTAATTAAAAATCGTTTTTTTTATTTTTTTACACAAATAATTTTTGTTTGTATTTTTTATTTGTAATTTTTTTTAATTCGCAATTTTTTTTGTCTTGTTTAAATAAACAATTTTTTAGTTTTTTTTATTAAAAATTGTAAGTTTTTTTAGTTTGTTATATAAATATTTTTTTTTATTATTTAAAGGAAGTTTAGAGAATTTTTTTAACCAACAGTATTTTGTTTTAACTCATGTTACGAGTGGATTCTAGTGTAGATGAGAAAGAAGTTATGTAATCCGGAATTTATTGACTGTAATCGAAAGTTTTATGAAAGGGTTAACAACAATGTGTTTCGTTCATAGTGGGCGAAATGGCGGTATGACAATGTCGCGCTATACAAATAAACTTTACTGCAAAAAAAAAAAAAAATTCCCCACTTAAAAATATTGTTATTGCAACAAAGAAAGAATAATTAAATTAATAAAATTATAAAAATGGAAAAACAATTAAAATATACAATTTCAAAACATAAAAAAATAATTTGAATAAACAATTAAACAAATAGAAAGACAATTGAAAAGCTAAAAAATAAAAAAAACTATTTTAGTAATAACAAATTTGTGAGACGGAAAAATAATTAAAATAACAAACAATTTGGGAAATAAAAAACAATTAAAATAAACAATTCGAAAAATAAAATAACAATTGAAATGAACAATATTAGAAAAGTAAAAAAACAATATTCAAAATCTACAAAATAAAAACTATTTTGTAGAAATAACAAATTCGAGAAACGGAAAAATTATCAAAATAATAAACAATTCGAAAAATAAGTAAACAATTAAAATAAACAATTATGAAAAGAAAAAAAACAATTGAAAATTCAAAAAAAAATAGAAAAACTATTTTGCAGTAATAAAAAATTCGAGAAACTGAAAAATAATTAAAATAATAAACAATTCGAAAAATGAATAGCAATTAAAATAAACAATTTGAAAAATAAATAAACAATTTAAAAATAAAAATACTATTGAAATAAACAATTCGAAAATCCAAAAAATAGAAAAACTATTCAAATAATAAAAAAAAAATTCGAGAAACGAAAAAAAAATTGAAATAATAATTTCGAAAAAAAATTGGAATAAAAAAATGGGAAAAATGAAAAAAGACGAAATAAAAAAACTCACCGGGATTTAAAAAAAAAAAAATTCCTCGAGACTTTGATTCATTATTATATACATATATAAAATCACAAATCAGTTATTTTGATTAGCCGTATAAAGCGAATGCTGCGCGAGGGAGAAACGATCAGGACAATATGATTAAATGACAAATGACGGGCGACAAAACTCAAGATAAAGTGCTTGAAACATAAATCCAACGTGATGTTAGTTCAGGACACACACGTGGATTATTTACATTGAGAAGTAGATATAGTGCTGGTGGTGGTGG